GATTTGTACTTGCTGCAATTACACTCAAGTATTAAATTAGGTGAATTGTTTGGAATTATAAACTGGCTAACTCTTCTTATGGAAAGCATGGAGGTGGGCATAGGATACATGAGTAAGAAGGCATCATGTATTCTTTACCATTATCTTCCAGGGAAAATGCCTATTAACTGTTAATATTGGGAAAGGAGGTATTATTTTCTTAAATATTTTCTTTTTGAATTAGCTAAACTTAATTATTCCAAATTATCTATCTGTTCATGTATTACTCCTGCATTATAAGGCCTTCTTTTTCATTGAAAGTATCCTGTAGTAGGGAACAAAATAGGCTGTCAAATGAATTGCAGAACCAGTTGTAGCCAAAGAGGATTCAAATGGATACAAAAAAGCCCTGAAATGTGATTACTGTTGAAAGAATAAGAACTACCTCTAAATTACAATGGCTATGGATTGTCTATATTGAATTTTAGTGTACTCTAACTCACTGTATGTGGGGTAAATTCACGAAATGTTAATAGGGGCCAGGGAGTAAGTTAATGGGCAATTTAAAAATGTCCTGTTTGATTATTTTTGCATTTTCCATAAGTAATTTCAATCAGAATATAAACAAGAAAAAAAAACTTTAAAAATTCTCTGTACCAAATGGCAAAGCTTTCTCTTAATATATCTTTTCAGAACTGTATGTTACCATGGCTCTGAAAATAATTCCTGGTTTGTTCAAAATATTCCTTTATTCCAAATGATCTCAAAATAAGCTCTGAAAGAATAAACCTTTCAAATGAACTTTTTCAAGAAAGCTGCTAGGAGTTCTGAGATATTTTTGCCTTTATTAATATCCACAAAGAAACTGTGGGGCAACAGGCACTCACATCTAAATAGGCAGATGTGAATGCATCAAGAGGATGATTAGCTTTATCAGTGTGAAGGGAGAAACAAACTCCAAAAATGTAAAGAATAAAAATACTGTATTGATTCAAATTGTAAATATGCCACTTTGATTTTTCTTTTATCTACTTTTATGTTTCAAATTCACTCCCACCTTAATGCAGTTTTAGATTTACAGGTCTTCCTATTATTTTATATTATCATCGCTTCATTCCTGCCTTCTTTACATTCTGTTCTTTCTTAATGTTTTATTCTGAGCTGTTTCTACTTATTTCCTTAGTCATTTTATTACTGTCTTGATTTTTGAACTCACATACCTTAAAGCAAGTGATCCTTCAACTGGTTTGGAGTTTTATCCCACATGTTTCTGAAGGATACTGGCTAACGCTTAGTGATCCAGAGCAAGTTAGCAACATCTTTACACCTAGAGGGTTAGCAATGCTCACGAGTGCCACTGGTTATTACTGGAAGGCCTAAGGTAAAGGCAGAGGAGAAGAAAATAGGGAGAATCAAGGGAGCAGGGAGAAAGGAACCAGAGTAAAGGAAGACAGGGGTAGAGAGAAGGAGGTACTCAAAAGAGAGTGGCAGAGAGGCACAACAATTGGTCTCAAGGATATTCTTTACCAAAACACTGCCTGAGGGTGGTATTTATAACATAAAAGAGACTAATGAATACATTTACCTTTAAAGAAATGAAAATCACCTTAATTACTAAATAGGATAAAAGTAACTTTTAGGATTCGTAGAGTGTACCTTCCTGATTACAGACAAAGGTGAGGAGGTATCAACAGGAAAATCTGGCATAGTTGTAAGACTATGCCACTTGTCTACAGGAGACTTTGCTTCTTTAATTATGATGTTCATATGGTACACACAGACATACTAACCATTCCTATTTTGAGATTTAACCATCTACATGATGGTTATCTCTTATGTCTCTCTCAGATGTTACATATCTTGAAGAACTAGCAACCCTTCGCAAGAAAGAAACAATGTGAATCAGCTGCATGGTAGATAATGTCTTGGACTGTTTACAATCTGAGATGCCATTTTACATTTTTTTTTTTCTGGTGAAGAAACAACAACAACAACAACAAAGAAAACAAAACAACAACTCCAAAATAAAAGTGTACATACGATACTAAATGGTAATTTTACATAAAAATTTTTTGATTGGTTGTACAGTGTCAGAAAAGTTCATAGGGGCTTTGCTCTCTTTGGCAACAAGAAAAGCTAACAGCAACCGTTTTTTTTTTTGTTTTTTTTTTTTAATTGAGCTTCTGCAGCTCATGTAAAAATCATAGAACAATATTCTGTTTGGGAATAATTCTGCCTCAATTTATTTCCTCACTCTCTCCCACCTTACATTAAAAAGATTATAAAAAACAGATTTCTTTGTCTCTGGTGTTTCATCTGCTGTAGATGTTTGCTCTACTCTGGAAATAAGAATTCATTGTTATTTTATAGTAATATTGTATGGCTACAAATTATTAGATCAAAACAATTTACTTTTTAGATGGGCAATAAGAAACTATTTCAAAACAATGGTGTTAGAAAAGAAAAAAACCAGAATCTAGAAGAGCCAGTGAAGCTATCACAAGAATAGAATAATTTTCTGTCTGGACAATATTTATTCTAACCAACACTGTAGAAGAAATCAACTTGAAAGAAAAAACCATAGGAGCCTTTGGGGATTTCATATTTATATTCTGCCTTTGACAATTTCAGAAGTATTCTAATCTAGTGAGATCAAGCTGAATGAGGTGAATCCAAGATAATTGTCATGAGAAAGAATACACTAGTGAAAGAGAAAAAAAACCAACAACATAAGCTCAATCTCTCTAACATTTTATTTATACAGAAAATGAGAGTACCAATTCAAATGTTATCCTTTTCAGAGATGGTTTAAGAAAATGTGTTCATAATAATAATAATAGGGATAATAATAGTTGCTATCTTTATATATTTTAAACAACAATTATCAAGTATTCTTTTTCTTTTTTTTTTTTTTTTAATGTGTGCCGGGTACTTTACCAGGGCTTTCTACAACCTCATCTACTCCTTACAACAACCTGCTGGAGTAAGTATTGTTGTAATTATGATAATTTTAAAGATAAGAAAACTGAGGCTCAAAAATTTAAGTGATTTGCTCAAAGTTACAGATGGAACTGGTACTAAAACACTTATCACTAGAACTTTGCTTAAAGCCTGTAGCTTTAACTATTTGCCATGCTGTCTCCAACATAAAAAGATAACTACTAAGAGATGATGATGGCACACAGGGGAGATTAATGATGTATTTAATTATAAGAAAAAGAAAATTACAGGTTGATCATCCCTTATATGAAATGCTTGGGACCAGAAGTATTTTGGATCTTGATGTTTTTCAGATTTTGGAATATTTGCATATACATAATAAGATATCTTGAGGATGAGACCCAAGTCTAAACACAAATTAATTTATGTTTCATATATATCCTATATACATAGACAAAAGGTAGGTAATTTTATACAATGTTTTAACTAATTTTTCTAAAAAAAATTTTGAGTGTGTTTTTACTGTGATCCTTCACATAAGGTCAGGTATGAAATTTTCTACTTGTGGTGCCATGTCAACATGCAAAAAATTTCAGATTTTGGAGTACTTCAAGTTCTGGATTTTTTAATTAGGGATGCCCAACCTGTATTTTCATGGCTAAATATAGTTAAAAAAACCAAAACCAAAACCAAAACCAAGTAAGAGACTTCATAACTGACCATTAAAAAGGAATTGGCATGCTTAACAGCTCTGACAAACTGGACAATTTTTTTTTTTTTTGAGACGGAATCTTGCTCTGTCGTCTAGGCTGGAGTACAGTGATGTCATCTTGGCTCACTGCAACCTCTGCCTCCCAGGTCCAAGCGATTCTCCTGCCTCAGCCTCCCAAGTAGCTGGGACTACAGGCACATGCCACCATGCCTGGCTAATTTTTGTATTTTTAGTAGAGACAGGGTTTCACAGTATTGGTCAGACTGGTTTTGAACTCCTGACCTTATGATCCACCCATCTCGGCCTCCCAAAGTTCTGGGATTACAGGCGTGAGCCACTGTGCCAAGCCAAAAATGTTTTTTTAAACATGTTTCTTCAATGATATCAACCTTGAATTAATAACCAATAACATAATAACAATGTATCACAGTTTGAAAATCACTAAGAGTAGATTTTAAGTCTCACCACAAAAATAAGTATGTGAAGTAACATATGTGTTAATTAGTTCAACTGAGCCATTCTACAATGTATACTACATATTTTAAAACATCATGTTGTACATGGAAAAACAAAACAAAACAAAAAATCAACAACAGTTTCTGAGCAATTCAGTTGAATTTTCATTTTGGGTTCTTAGATTGGAATTTAGGCAGAAACATGTTATTTAGTATTTGCTTTTAAATACTAGTGAGCTGTTGGGGCTCCAGGACTTTGAAATATGGCATCTTCCAGAGAATTAGAGGTTTCCCTCATTTCTGCTTTTCATGAAGCCCTATACTGATGTTTGAGTTGAAAGCAGAACAGACCACCTCAACTTTATCCTCGTGTTGGGCATCTGCTCTTTTTTCTTAGACCATACAGATGTTTCAACTAGAAAGCATTTGGAAAACTTCCAGATCAAGAATGTATGCTGTCTGGCATGTGTAGGAACTGAAAGAATAAATTGAGGTACAGTGTTTTAATTTTATTCCTATATGTATATTTGTAAGCAAGAATTTCAGTAACACAAAGGATAAACACTTAACGTGATGGATTCCAAATTTAACCTGATATAATTATTATGCGTTGTATGCCTGTATCTAAATATTTCATGCAACCCCATAAATATATATATACCATGTATCCACAAATATTAAAAATAAAAAATTTAAAAAAGTTTTTATATAACTTTTCTTTAACTGAAAAGTTTTAATCAAGATTGTACCAAAGAATATACAAGTGCAGATTAACATGGTTATCTGTGACTAAAGTTATTCTGACAACCATGGGAAAACAAGTCTAACTGTTGCTGGGTGCTTGGGCTGTGTCAAAAATCTGAAAAAAAATATACTGTGAGTCTGATTATATTTAAGAAAACCAAAATATTTACCTCGGACAGCATAGCCATCTTTTACTGATGCTGGGAAGGGGGGTAAATTGTCTTTTGCATATACATCTTGAGCAAGGACTCGCCCCATTCCATCTGAAGGAAGAGAAAAGAAAGAAAATGTAAATACCGAGAGCAATAGGGTAAGCAGGCAGTCATAAACAAGATGGGCATGAGTACTTGTCTGACACAGCTTGTAAATGGGCTCAGTCAGACCTCCTGATTTCTGTCCCAAGAAATAGGAGACAGAAAGAAGAGATGCATTCTGGTGCCTGAAATAAAAGATTACATCCAGTCAATTCACAGCAGTGCTTGCAGAGATTATTTGAATATGAGGTGCTATACAGTAATCAAAGATGTGTTCAGTTAATATGTCACTAATCCTTTAACCACCCAAAGGAAAGCCAACTTTAAACATTTTCATACCCATTGATCTAGTACTTTCACTTCTACAAATCTATCCTAGGAAAATGGATAAATGTTTCTGTACATGTTTATTTCAGAGTTGCATACAATAGAAACAATGGAAAGAAACCAAACTATCAACAATATAGGTATTTAAATAAAAATGATATATTCTTAAGATGAAATATTATGCAGGCTAAATATTTATAAAGACTATTCATTGACATAGGAAAATTCCTATGATATATATTTTTACAACATGCAAAGTCAAACATGCAGTGTATAGTCTTAACTATATTAAGATATATGTGTACATATCAACAGAAAAAGAAAAAACATTTATTTAATATAAATATAAAGCATTTATTACTTAAGAATGTTAGATTTATAATTTTTATTCCCTTTGCTCTACTTTCCAAAAATTTCTACATTTTCTACAATTAATGCATTATTTTTTAATCCTAAAGTTTTTTCTTAAGAAGAGAAAGGTTAAAAAAAAAAAGAAAGAAACCATGAGAAACCACCCTCATGCTCCGGTAATCTCCCACCAGGTCCCACCTCCAGCACTGGGAGTTACATTTCAACATGAGATTTGGAGGAGGGGGGCACAGATCCAAATACTACCAATCAGTTAGCAACTATTTGCAAAATTGATGTGTAAGAGTTCTCATGTTGGTGTGTGTGGTTCCTCAAGCTTTGGAAAAGAACTGCACTTTTTATTTCCTTTCTGTCTACTCAAAGCAACAAAAACAGATCTTACTTAAAATGTGTTTTTCTATCCTGGACTTCCAGAACAGTTTTTACTTTTATGTAAATTCAATTCTTCTTAAAAAGCAAGGGCAAACTGAAAAGAAGTGAAAACAAATGCCACACAAAAACTTGAGCATAATTATTTTTAACAGCATTTTTCATAATAGCCAAAAGATGGAAACCGAAATATCCATCAACTGACAAATGAACAAACTGAAGCATATCTATACAATGAAAGATTACATAGCCATAAAAAGAAATGATATATTTCTGAAAACTACTAAGCATTGCTGAAAGAAATAACAGAGACATGTAAATGGAAAGACAGCCTATGTTCATGTTGTTAATGTCCACACTACCCAAAGCAATCTACAAATTCAGTACAATCCCTATCAAAATCTCAAGGACATTTTTTATAAAAATGGAAAAGCTCACCCCAAAATTCATATGGAATCTCAAGGGACTCCAAATAGCTAAAACAATTGTGGAAAAGAATGAAGTTGAAGGAATCATATTTCCTGATTTCAAAACATATTATCAAGCCATAGTATTCAAAACAGTATGGTATTGGCATAAACAGATATATAGATAATGGAATAGAATAGAGAACTTAGAAATAAACCCTTATGTGTACAGTCAAATGGTCTTTGATAAGGGTGCCAAGACCACTTAATGGGGAAAGGACGGTCTCTTCAACAAATGTTGCTGGAAAATCAGATACCCAAATGCAAATGAATAAAATTGGACCCTTATAATTACACTATATACCTCTACAAGGAAAACTACAAAACACTACTGAAATAAATAACAGGACACAAACAAATAGAAACACATCCCATGCTCATGGATGGGTAGAATCAATATTGTGAAAATGACCACACTGCCAAAAGAAATCTACAAATTCAATGTAATTTGGAATAAAAATACTACCATCATTTCTCACAGAACTAGAAAAGACAATCCTAAAGTTCATATGAAACCAAAAATGAGCCCACATAGCCAAAGGAAGACTAAGCAAAAAAAAAACAAATCTGGAGGCATCAAACTATATAGTTTGACTTCAAACTATACTATACGGCCATAGTCACTAAAACAACATGGTACTGGTATAAAAATAGGCACACAGACCAATGGAAGAGAATAGAGAACCGAGAAATAAACCCAAATACTTAACAGCCAACTGATCTTTGACAAAGCAAACAAAAACATAAAGTGGGGAAAGGACACCCTATTCAACAAATAGTGTTGGGATAATTTGCAAGTCACACGTAGAATGAAACTGGATCCTCATCTCTCACCTTACACAAAAATCAACTCAAGATGAATCAAGGACTTAAGTGGAAGAACTGAAACTATAAAAATTCTAGAAGATAACATTGGAAAAACCCTTCTAGACATTGGCTTAGGCAAAAACTTCATGACCAAGAACCCAAAAGCAAATGCAACAAAAACATTGATAAATAGGTGGGACTTAATTAATCTAAAAAGTTTCCGGTGGCCGGGCGCGGTGGCTCACGCCTATAATCCCAGCACTTTGGGAGGCCGAGGCGGGTGGATCACAAGGTCAAGAGATCGAGACCATCCTGGTCAACACGGTGAAACCCCGTCTCTACTAAAACTACAAAAAATTAGCTGGGCATGGTGGCGCGTGCCTGTAATCCCAGCTACTCGGGAGGCTGAGGCAGGAGAATTGCCTGAACCCAGGAGGCGGAGGTTGCGGTGAGCCGAGATCGCGCCATTGCACTCCAGCCTGGGTAACAAGAGCGAAACTCTGTCTCAAAAATAAAAAAAAAAAAAAAAAAAAAAAAATTTCCAACAACAAAAAAAAAAAAAAAAAAAAAAAAAAAAAAAAAAAAAAAAAAAAAAAGTTTCTGCACAGCAAAAGAAACAATCAGCAGAGTAAACAGACAACCCATAGAGTGGGAGAAAAATCTTCACAATTTACACAGCTGACTAAGGACAAATATCCAGAATCTACAAGGAACTCAAGCAAATTAGCGAGAAAAAACAAATAATCCCATCAAAAAATGGGCAAAGGACATGAAGAGACAACTCTCAAAAAAAATATACAAACGGCCAACAAACATGAAAAAATGAGCAACATCACCAATGATCAGGGATATGCAAATCAAAAACACAATGTCATACCACCTTACTCTTCCAAGAATGGCCATAATCAAAAAATAATAGATGTTGGTGGGGATGTAGTGAAAAGGGAAAACTTTTACACTGCTGGTGGGAATGTAAACCTGTACAACCACTATGGAATACAGCATGGAGGTTCCTTAAATAACTAAAAGTAGAACTACTATTTGATCCAGCAATCCCACTACTGGGTGTCTATGCAGAGGAAAAGAAGTCACTGTACACAAAAGATACTTGCACATGCATGTTTATAGTAGCACAATTTGCGATTGCAAAAATATTGCAAAAATATGGGCACCACCAGCCCAAATGCCCACCAATCAATGAGTAGATAAAGAAATTGTGGTATATATACCATGGAATACTATTCAGCCATAAAAGGAACAAAATAATGGCATTTGCAGCAACCTGGATGGAATTGGAGACCATTATTTTAAGTAAAGTAACTCAGGAATGGAAAACCAAACATTGTATGTTCTCACTTATAAGTGGGAGCTAAGCCATGAAGAGGCAAAGGCATAAGAATGATACAATGGACTTTGGGGACTTGGAGGAAAAGGGTCGGAGCAGGTGAGGGATAAAAGAATCCAAATTGAGTACAGTGTATACTACTTGGGCTATGGGTGCACCAAAATCTCACAAATCACCACAAAAGAACTTACTCATATAACCAAGCACCACCTGTTCCCTAATAACCTGTGAAAATAAATAATAATAATAATAATAATAATAATACATAAAGAGATCTTATGACTCAACAAAAATCAAATCACATGAATTTAAAATTAAAAAAAGACTCGGATAGTCATTTTCCCAAAGATGCTACACAAATAGCCAACAAGAGTATAAAAAGATGCTCAACATCAATAAGTGTCAGAAAAATGAAAGTGAAAATCACAATGAGAACATCACCTTACACTCATTAGGATTGTGACCATCAAAAACCCGGAAAAGTTTTGGTATAAATAAGGGAAACTGAAGCCCTTGCACACTGCTGTTGGGGTTATAAAATGGTGTAACCACTTGTAAAATAGTATGAAAGTTCCTCAAAAAATTAAAAATAGAACTACCGATGATTGGGGGAAGATGGCCAACTAGGAACAGCTCAGGATTGCAGCTCCCAGTGAAAGTGCAGAGGGTGAGTGGACGCTGCATTTCCAGATGGATTTTTATTGCCCAAAGACCAGGAGATTCCCAGGCAGAGGAGCCCCACGGATCGCCAGCACGGCTGTTTCGGCCCATGTGGCTGCTTTGCCCGCACCCTGGCGTGGCAGTTCTCCATACAAAAGACACTGGTCCGGGTGCATTCTTAGCTGGTGATTGGAGCCCTGAGACAGCAGAGTCACCCATTCATCTGAAATAGCGAGCCAGGCCAGGAGATTCCTAGGCCAAAAAACCACCAGGAATCTCAGTGCAGCTGTTTCAGCTGGCTCAGTGAGTCGCGGCACGGGAGATCCCGGCACCTTTTCAACAGGCGACTGGAACACTGGGAGAGTAGACCGCTGAACAACAACAAAAAAGAGTCTGAGTCAGGGAGCCAGGTGATCAGGCTCAGCTGGTCCCAACCCACCCCCTCACAAAAAACAGTAATTGAAAATGCTCTGGGTTGAGAGTTTCACAGCAATCACAGCTGAACCTGGGACGGTTTGGCTCTGTGAGGGAGGGACGTCTGCCATTACTGAGATACTCCACCACTACGAAGGCAGTCTGACCATAGCTGAGGCAGCCCACCGTTGCTGAGGCAACCTGCCACTACCGAGAGAGTCCACCATAACAGAGGTGGGCCACCATTGCCA